CTAGTCAAACTAAACATATTCCTATTTTCCCCAAAAACTTTGTTGTAAGAGCACTATTCGTCACTTTGCGTTATTGAAAGGTGTAGCTAAGTAAGAGAACTATGTTCAAATTTTTAATTCTGTGTGTTCTGTATAAAAGAACTATAACTTGACAAATTTCAACAAATTATGCCTATTTATTAGAGGCACAAAAAAGACACAAATTATAAAAAGTTTAAAAATTATAGTCACAAGAATTATAATGCTCACAAATATTAGTCAGAATTTACTACCACAAAGGAAGCAAATTAACCTTTACTCTATAAATAGCATTAAAAAATCTCAAATTTAGTATTCTAGAAATATAGTCACTCATATTCATGGCACATTTCTCTTGTTTGAATATTGCGGGACACCAAAATCCACCCCCTCACCTTTCTTAGTGAATGTTGACAGTGGAGTCCTTTTTTATGACTTCCAGCACAAAAGTGCATTATAATGCAAGAAGCAGTAAGGGGCTGGTGACTGAGTGCTCTCTTCCAGCTAATCCATGCTCCTTAGCAACATAATCTCAACTAGAGGTGTATATGAACAAACTTCTCAAAAGGTGAGACTATGCCAAGGAACTGTGCCACTGACATTAATCATGATCCAAGTATGCCTCCAAACATCTAAACCTAATGCTAATTTTGTTATGGTTACCTTACCCTGCAGAATAGGTTCTTTTCATGTCATTCTCTTTAGCTAAGACATATACAACGAAATATATAACTGTTAGCTTTTATGCAACTGTTCAATGCTTTAAAGTATAAAAAATGATGAGGTTGATGTATCCTAAGACATCTGCAAATTCTTTCTGATATTCATCACTCACTTTAATAATCATAGGTATCCTGAACTCCTAAAATGCCATCAACAGTTTCTAAATCTAAATCAACAGTTTCTAAATTAGTACCTCCAGCTTAGCTTTTCAAATAAGACTCCAGGGACCAATACAGCAGGATGTGGCTCCTGTAAATGTATATACGCTAAAGCTTGTGAAGCCAGTTAAATTTGAAAAACAAGAAATAGATCTAAAGCAAAAGATAAACTCCAACATGTAGCACCGGGTGACTTGAGCATCTCACTATCATTAGTCATCAGGTCCACTGGACAAGAAAATTCAGTGTGCAAAGCCCAGAGCTAACCTACACTGCAACAGACTGAACCTAATAGACATCTAACTCATTACACTCCATGGCACGAGAAAAAACAGTGTTTTTTTCATCTTGCTTTACTGATCCCTTTACTATTTACAAGTGAATTTCTCATCTCTTTCAAGATTTTGATTAAAATCTATTTTGTTTTATACTGGGATGGCATTCGCTTCTCATTTTTGAATTTCATTAGCATGTAATACCTTTTTCATCCTTTTCATTTCACTTCGTTTGTATCTTTGCTGGTGAGGTGTTTCTTGTAGACAGCGTGTATTTACATTGCGGTTTTGTTGTCAATTCATTCAACTAGTGTGTATCATTTAATTGGGGAATTTGGTCCACTTACATTCAAGGTTATTATTGAGCAATAATACTTAATCTTGAATTTTTCCAAAAATGCTTCTATTGTTTGTTTTGAATCTATGCTGTTTATTTGGGAGGAGATTTTCTGCATTCTCATCCTTTTACAATGTTTGATGCTATCCTGTTTCTGCATGTAGTGCATCCCTAAATGTCATTTGTAAGATACGCCTGATGGTGACAAATGCTTTAAAATTTGACTTCCTTAGAGGTTTTTAGCTCACTTTTATTACAAATGAGACCTCTGTTGCATAATTTGGGGCAGTAGATCTTGGACCTTTTATCTGTATTGTTTATTGGTTTGTATGGCTTGTTTGCTTAAAAGTATCTTCAGAAATGATTTGTCCTTCCTTTCACAAAATTTAAGATACGCATTGTGCATTTTTTTGAATATTTGACCATATGTATCAAGCTGTAGATATTTTCTGATCAGTTATTTTTGGGTTTCTATATGCTTCAGATATTTAGGTTTCCATAACTTACCAAATAATGGAAAATTCTTGCTGTTATTTTTTTGACTGGATTTTCTATGGCTTATTTTTTTATATTCTTTCATTTATTCCTAATGTTTGGGTATTTGGGTATTTGTGGGTATCACATAAATGCTGAAAATTATTTCATTCTTTATTATTTTGTCTTCTTTGTTGTATGATTAGAACACTTCCAAAGGCCTTGTCTTCCAGATCAGATATGTTTTAATTTTATTTCTGGGATTTCATCAACATCCATCTATTTACAGTCCTTTTTTTTAAGATTTATTTTTATTGGAAAGTCAGATAGACAGAGAGGAGGAGAGACAGAGAGGAAGATCTTCCATCTGATGATTCACTCCTCAAGCGGCTGCAATGGCTGAAGCTGAGCCAATCTGAAGCCAGGAGCCAGGGGCTTCTTCCAGGTCTCCCACATGGGTGCAGAGTCCCAAGGCTTTGGGTCATCCTCGATGGCTTTCCCAGGCCACAAGCAGGGAGCTGGATAAGAAGTGGGGCTGCTGAGATTAGAACCAGCTTCCACATAGGATCCTGGTGCATGCAAGGAGAGGACTTTAGCTGCTAGGCTACTGCTCTGGCCCTACAGTCCAATATTAATGCATTATTATGTTTCTTTGTGGGAGTCATATTGGCTTCCTTGTTGTATTTTTTTATGTTCCTACACTGCTTTTTCAAGTTGTGATATAACCTGATTTTGTCACTTCTAAAGGATGACTCTTATTGAAGAAGGTATTATTCTTGAGCTATACCTCTAGGTTTCAGTTCCAGTTAGTATAGTATTCTTCCTACCAGTTGAATTCAAGAGCTAAGAGTAATATTCATGCATGCATGAACTTTCCTTTAGTTGTTGGTAGCTATAATAGGGATTCTGGCTGTTCATGTGCCTCTGGGTAGTCACTCAGATAGCTGTCATTTAGGGTTCCATTTTTGTTTGTTTGCTTTTTTTTTGTTTTTTAAGAGAGAGAGATAATGGGGGACTGGTATGACGCACTTCTCAAGTGTTTGGATGATATCATACTGATGTTGTGATTGTGCCTGGCTCATATATTAAAAGTCAGTCCCTTGTCAGGTACCAGAGTTGTAAGTAAGTGAAGTGCTGAACCTCAGGCTGGGTGGATTTAAAGACTTCTAGGGGTTGTCTAGACCTAAATATTCATTACTTCCTTCGACATTTGGTAGAGGATGTGGGACCCACAGATGCACTTCACGACGGTGAGTGGATTTGTGAGGAAGAATTTTCTTCTGTAACAGCAGGACAAGCAGCTTTTGGTCCCGTTAGATGTTTAGATTCAGCACCAAGAGCCAACCTGGGATTTCCAATGAGGAAGGCCAGTTGGATTCAAGGAGTAAAGTTCATGTCTGCAGCTAGAGTCCAGTGTGATATGGCAGATGGAGGTGGTAAAGCACCTCTGTCTACTGTGGACAGAAGGCGTAGATGTTGGAGCCTACAGTTCTGTACCTTTACTGACCAGAGCACCGACTTACTATGTATTTTGCCATTCAAACCCACTGTGAGATAGATCCTCAGATCAGGAAACTGTTCCTTTGTGGTGAGACTGAATGAGTACATGGGAATACAGCTTCAATGTGCATTTTTTTTCTTATTTTAAAGATTTATTTTAATTTGAAAGGCAGACATACAGAGAGGAGAGAGAAGAGAGGAGAGGGTAGGGAAATAGAGAGAATCTGATATTCAATATCCACTAGTTCATTCCCAAAATTGACACCATGGCCAGGATAAACTGATCTAAAGCAAGGTACCAGAAGCCTCCTCTGGGTCTCCTGCATGAGTACAGAGGCCTGAGAACCTGAACCGTCCTCCTTTGTTTTTCCATATCTTAAGCAGGGAGCTGGATCAGAAGTGGAGTAGTTAAGGTATGAACTAGCAACCATATGGATGCCAGCGCTCTAGGTGGAGAATTAGAGTTTTATGCCACATCAGTTGCCCCTGAGATTTTCAGCAGGTTGGAAGAAGGGGGAGATTAAGGGAAAAGAATCTGATTGCTGATTGTGACTGCAAAGGCCTCCTTATTTTCGGAGACCTAGGAAAAGTCTATCTCAACCGTTTATCACCAAAGTCTATGTGGTAGAGAGTCCTGTGTTGCCCCAAACTCCATGGCACCACTGCTGTGACTCTCTAGACTGGTGTACCTTTCCGAGAATGTTTGATGCCTTTCTCAGTGGACTTAAAGCCAGGGCAGACAGATTTTCCCACAGTCTGAGCTTCAGGTCTGCAATGCTGGCAGTTGTGGAGGAACCTCTGACCATTGTCAGTGAAGCTAGACTTCGCAGTTTGCAGCAAGGAAGGAAGGAGCAGGGGCAGCCATGGCTGTGTACCTGCCTCCTGCCCTCCTGCCCTCCTGCCTAGTTGGTTTATGGGATTTCCATTTTGTTCAGTAGCTAAACATACTACTGGCTTGTTCAGCTCTTCCGAAGGTGGACTGCTTGAGGAAGTAGCTGATCGTATTTGTATCCTTGCAGACAATCACTTGAACATGCTTCTCAGCACCATCTCACTGCAGCATTCTGTTTTCATTTCTGCTTTTTGAGGGGCAATGTTTGAAAAAGCTTGAGCTTGACAAGTTTTGGTATTTGTGCCCATTTGTAAGGAAATTGTTTCAAATGATGTGTAAACAGAGATATCATTCTGAAAAATAAAGCAATGAGAATAGACATCTGAAGATTTGTATTGTACAAAGTAAATAATTAATCAATTTTTTTAATTGCTTAAAGTAACATTTGATTCTAAAGGGACCGTGTCATGTTTCTTGTTTTAACCGATTTAAAAAAGTCTCTTTCATCCAATACAATGAATTGATTTTATGAATTTCTTCAAGTGTGAAATAGCACTTTGATTTTACTCCTCCTTCCAAAGGTCATGGACCTTTAGACAGGCGCTTGGGACATCGGCTTCTTTTTATTCCTGTGGAGGCAGAAGAAAAAAGCAGAAGGTGTTTTGTCAGAGGAAACAAAAGTAATGGATCCCAAACACCAGCACATGGCGTTAAATGATGGTCACTTTATTCCTGTACTGGGCTTTGGCACCTATGCAGCTGAAGAGGTAAGCCTTGTTGCTTTGCGATTGAGATGACAGAGGAAGATAGATTTAGAAAGGGTGGAAAGTTATCTGAGCTGTGAAGTCACCCAGCTGCTGCATGATTATTCAAGTTTCATTTTATTCTCCATTTCTCCTAGTCTGAACTCAGTCACACTATTTGTTGCTTGGCAAATACCATGGGTCACAGCTGATAATAAAGCCACTACTCAACAAAACTGTTACTTAGCTTGCTCACCTGGCTTCATTTCAAATAGAGTGGTTCCCTGCTTCTTCCTATAATTTAAAACATGCTTTTTTCCAATAAAGTATGATCTAGAGATTGAATTTTTGTTAGTAGAAAGGAAGCACAAAGGTTATGAAGACAATAATACTGTCTTGATGTTGTTTAAATTTAACCACCATTCAGTAATTCCCGGATCTGATCCATGTAGAATTTTCCATGTTTAATTCTTATTTCTGGGAAACATACCTGAAAGAAAATGCAGTGATACCTTAGGGAAATAGAGACCTAATCAGAGCGAAGGTATGTTGTTGGTCCTTGTTAACCAGTGTTGCAGTTAAAGGGGAATGATGTTTGGTCTTATGAAATAAAAGTCGAGCATCATGGAGGGGATTCTGCACACTGATACCGTGGCTTGATGGATGATTGAATGACACCAGATTATAGGATTTCCATTTTATTCTTGTGAAACATTATTGAATTACTGGGGATATTCTGAAGACATGTGGCAGGACTTCGTAGTTCTTCAAAGAGAAGTGGGATGAAGGGGAGAGAAGGATCAAGTACACCAAATCAAGAAACAGTACTGATAAATTTCTGAGTTCCCACACATTATTTGCTTCATCACTGTTTCACTGAATAAAGCAAACCTGTTAAATCCTTAAAATAACTGAAAAAAGGGTTTGCGTCATTTATCTGTTTGTTCTTTAACCAACATTTTCAAGTCTTTGTTCAAATTTGGAAAGCCAGGATTTGTGTTCTCATTCTATCTTGCTTATGGAAGTTGCCTCATTGTGTTTCTTTTATAGATGTGTGATCTCATTGTATCCTGTTTATAGAAATGTTACAAACTTTCATATGATATGGCTGATCTCTTGTGTGAAAATGCGAATCCCATTAGTAGGCATTCATACTCCTCTCTTTGTTAGTTTTATGTTTTTGTTTGGGGGAGGTGGGAGCAGACAGAATGTCTGTAGCAAGTATTTGCATAGTTACTGCTTGCATATTTAACTATCTGTGTTCAATATAAGCTCTAATTTTCAGCAGGAAGCCTACATTCTTTCACACTTCAAGTTTATTAGGATGGTGGCTGTAGCTAAAATGCCTGTACAGACAATGTAGTGTGGTTGTTTTTGCTTGTGATATGCTTATAGGGTAGCGGAGGATATCTATCTCAGCGTGTCTGGATGGAAAATCAGGAGTGGAAAATCTATATAAATAGCTGTCATTACTGATACTTTTGCAAATGATTGCAAATTCAATTATGACAGAATTAAAGATATTCATTTTATTTCACTGGGAGAGAATTCACTAAGGATCCCGTTGAATTCATTTAGTATATGGTTTCATTTTGCTTTCCCTGATGTTAGCTTTCATTAGAAAGCACAGTACATAAATAAAAAGCAAGATATTAACTTTCGTTGTGTCCTGTAAATCCATCCATCAGATCAGTAAACCTGGCATCATTCCTGAGCACATTTGATGGCAATAATCAATGTACTTGACTGGGATGAAGAGATTGCTGAGCTGCCTACCGCTTGCTATTAATTGGGGAAGATACAGGCTAACTGAGATGAATGGATCCCCTTAAAATAGAGAATTATTCTAACACATGAGAGGAAAAAACAAAATTGTGAAGGTCACTGATGATGCTTAAATTGATTCTAATCACCTGCACCCCAAAATAGTATTCTTGTCTGCTTCTCTAGGTTCCTAAGAGTGAGGCTGGGGTGGCCACCAAAATAGCTATAGATGCTGGGTTCCGCCATATCGATGCTGCTTACGCGTATCAAAATGAAGAAGAAGTAGGTCAGGCCATCCGCAGCAAGATTGCTGATGGTACTGTGAAGAGAGAAGACATATTCTTAACTTCCAAGGTATGGTGTTTGATATGTAGTGTGCTAATTAAAGCAATATGGGCACAAGGTAATAGCTTAGTGGTTAAATCCTTATCTTGCATATGCTGGGATCCCATATGGGTGCTGATTCATGTCCCAGCTGCTCAATTTCCCATCCAGCCTTCTGCTTGTGGCCTGGGAAAGCAGTAGAGAATGACCCAATGTCTTGGGATCCTGCATCCCTGTGAGAGACACAGAAGAGGCTCCTGGATCCTGGTTTCAGACTGGCTCGGTTCTGGCTATTGTTGCCACTAGAGGGAGTAAACCAGTGAACCAGTAAGACAGAAGTCTTTCTGCTTCTCTTTCTCTCTGTAAATCTGACTTTCCAATAAAAATAAAATAAATGTGATGTGTGGGGTAACTATGTAATTATGTAATATAATTGCATAATTTTGTATACAATTGTTGATTACTTTTCTTTTTTCACACCTGATTTGCACATTCTTTTTATTAACTTTTAAATTGATTTAAGAATTAGCAATTTTAAACGCATTTCTACATAAACCTCATAGTGTATACATACACAAATGAACCATCTTTTTCTTTGAGAAAAGGGTATAAATATCACAAAATAGGGGCTCATGGCAATGATTCTAGAGTGATGAAGCAGGGCATATTATCACAGATATCACGGTTCAGTAATGATAATATTTTACCCATGCACTATCAAATAGTAGGTCATTCACACAATTTTTATATTCTATTCATAATAAATGAAAACACGTGCTGTTTGTCTTTTCTAGTCTGACTTATTTTGTTTAGTATAAGGATATTCCATTTCATTCGTTTTGTTGCAAATAACAATATTTCACTCTTTTTATATATAATATTCCACCATTTACACGTACTACATTTGCTTCTTCTAGTAATTAATGTATATATATATATATATATATTTTTTTTCCATTGTGAATTGGGATGCTCTAAGTTTGGGAGTGCAAATATCTCTTTTGTAGTCTGGTTTTGATTCCCTTGGATACATTTTCAGTTAACTGGATCACTTGGTATATACATTTTTGCATTTTCATGAGTGTACAAATTATTTTTCGCAACATTTATGGTAATTTCACTTCTATGGTATATTAGGATACACGGTATGTTGTCACAGTTGAGTTCTTTCTACTCAATCTGGTAATTATTTGTATGTTGCTATTATTACTGATAACGGTCATTCTCACTGAAGTGAGAAAATACCTTATTGTGGCTTTTGTTTTCATGTCCTTAATTGCTAAACATTTTTTATGTATCAGTTCAACATTTTTTTTCTTTTCTCCAATTGATATGGCTTGCTTATTTCTTAATTGTATTGTTTATTGTTAAGTATATTGATTTCCTGATAGATTTTTGCATTGTTTTTTAATCAGATGTATAGCTTCAAGAAAACTTTTCTGTTTTGTTGATTTTCTTTTTATTCTTTATTTCTTCTTTGCTGTGCAGAAGCTTGTTAGCTTGATAAAATCCCACTTGTCTATTTTTGCCTTCATTTAATTGTGTTTTTGGAGTCTTATCTACGCAGTTATACCTAGGCCATTGTCTTACAGTATTTCCACCAGCAGTTGTCATGTCCAGATCTGTAGATTTTTACTTCATTATGAGTTGAATTGGGTATGGTCTTTAAGCAATGCAAGTGTCTTTTCTATGGAATGATTTTTTAAAAAAGGATTTTAAAACTTTTAAAATCTTTTCGTAAAATCAGTTGATTTTGGACTTATGGATTTGTTTTCAAGTTTTAAATTTTGATAGAACTCAGTAATGAAACATCTAGCTCTGGTCTTTCTTTTTTTGGGAGAATTTTTATTACTGATTCCATCTCGATCTTAATTATTGGTCTACATAGATTTTTTATGTCATTGTGATTCAAGATATGTTATATTTTATATATGCGTATATAAAATATATTATATATAACATATATATATATATTTATACTTACACATGTATAGTAAAATATGTGTATCCAGAAATGTATCTACTTTTTCTGGATTTTCTGATTTGAACATACTTTTATGTAGGCAATTATTGGTATAACATTTCTCGTTAACACTAGTTTTTCTGTATCCCAAAAGTTTTGATTGGTAGTTTTTTCATTAGAGGGAAATGTTTCAATGTTGCTTTTGACTTCCTCATATATTCCTTTTTCTGTCTTTTCAGTCCTTTAGGGGCTTCTCCAGTGTACTTTTAATTGGCATCACTAAAGATATTTTAAAATTTTTCATATTTCTCTGTAGTTCTTTTCCAATGTCCCTAAATATTTTCTCTTTGAAGCTATTTTACATATAACACAAACAACTGTTATTATCATTGCTTTATGACATATTTATCTCTGGTGGAATATCCAGCATGGGTTGGTGTGTTTGTGAGTATTAGCAAAGAAACAACAGAGGTTTCGGTCATAGATAAGAAAATAGAAAACTGAAAAAGGAAAATCATTTTCCTTCAGCATTCAGCATTTCTCAACTCGCACAAAAGACTCCACATTAGATGAAGGGAACCAACAAATATGGCTAACAAATTTGTTTTCTCTACCCTCCACTGTTAACTTCTATAGCTTTGGTGTACTTTCCATCGACCAGAGCTGGTCCAGTCAGGCTTGGAATGGTCACTCAAAAAACTTCAAATGGACTATGTTGATCTCTATATTATTCATTTCCCACTGTCTCTGAAGGTAGGTGATTATCAAATGTTTTCTCTCTAACTACCAACGTGACCATAATTATCATGGATGAGTAAATGATTCTGGTGAAGTTATAAAAGTTCTATAGATGAAATTTATAGACATAGTTCAAACTAGTTTATCAATGTATGTTACTCTGTGGTGTAAATGGAGGATTCCCAGCTATGAGTAGATACACTCATTTGATATGGCCTTAAGGAATATTCAGGTCCCAATGAATTTCCCTGCAGTATCACATTTATATTACTATTTTTTGAGCCTGTTCATTAGTGGCACATGTGACTGTGGAGCAATTCTAAACTAAAGGTTGCTAATATTTGATAGGCTTCCTGTATCTTCTAATATTTTTCTGAAACAGAACCTTGATTTAACTTCTACCTTATAAGTGCATGCTGTTTGACCACCAAGGTTAAAATTAGTAAATGGTGATTAAGACCATGTAACTATTATTGAACCTAATGAAACATATATTTCTCTAGAGGAAAGACATAAGAATACACAGTAACATATAACTGTGTCACCATTAAAATCTGGGAACTTGTATTGGTTAATACACAGCAGGTATGAACAGAACATTATTTACTACTTTGTATTGAAATTTAAGCATGTGAAGACTATGCCACATATTTCAAGCCTAAATATGTCTGGATATATTGTTCTGGACTGGAGACCTGAGTATACTGACACTGTGAAAAATGACTGCTTCTGTTCCAGCCTGGTGAGGACTTAATTCCAACAGATGAGAATGGAAAAGTGATATATGACACAGTGGATCTCTGTGCCATTTGGGAGGTGAGTACAGAGGAAGCAACAAGAGGAAGTAAAAACTCCCAATTCAACTTTGAAAAATAGGATACTGTTGTTTGGATGCAGATATTCTTGCCACTGTGTTAAAGGTTGTAGTGCAGGAAAGATGGGGGAAAACAGCATACTTTGATGTAACAGAGAGCAACAGAGAAGAATTTGAAGCAATAAAAGCAGGCAGTCTTCTGTTCTTGTACATTCATCTCTCTGCTTTTCCAAGTAGAACATAAGAATTCATTCCTCACTATCTTTCTTTCTAGGCCATGGAAAAGTGCAAGGATGCGGGACTGGCCAAGTCCATCGGGGTATCCAACTTCAACCGCAGGCAGGTGGAGATGATTCTGAACAAGCCAGGACTCAAGTACAAGCCTGTGTGCAACCAGGTGTGAATTCTCAGACTTCCCTCCTTCAATTTTTCATTTCTTTCCTCCAATTCTGCTGTCACATATCCATTTTATTCCCCCATTTCTGTTTCACTTACTTGGATTAACGGAAGTTTTTGCAGCCAGAACCTTTAAAAAAAGAGAAATGTAGCTTCCATTTTCTATCTATTAATGTTATAGTGAAACGTTTAGGAAACTACTGTTGAAATATATAGGAATCTGCAAAAGTAAAATGACAAAAATGCTAGTATACTAGAGGATCAAACCTTGGGAGAAGACAATGAATTTATCCAAGATCAATGAAGAAATCCAATGGAGGATCACCAGAAGCATTGATTATTGAAGGTGGTGTGGAAGACATTGTGTATGGGAAGGAAGGCCATGAAAACACTTAGGGAGCAATTAATAAATTCAGAGTGAATGTACTAGCACATAAGTGGTAAGGGTTTGTTTGGCATTTAGAGATTTCAATGGTTCCTCTTGTTCATTGTTCCTTCATGTGTTTTGGAAAGACATATACAGGGAAGATAACTGTAGCGTATTAATATAAGGGAAAGGGGAGACATTATTTGGGGGACAATAGGGTAGCTAACATCAGCCCTCATGGAATTTTACCAAAACTTAAGCTGATCCTTCAGCTTGTTTTAATCTTTGTCTCTTCCTGGTTTCTGTCATCAAATCAGAGGTTTAATCCCATTTATTATATGCATCGTTACATGTCATCACATATTATCTAACAATAATATTTGAAAAACATATAGAATCAATGACTGATATAATGATGCACAACTCTTATTTTCAGTAAGATATCATAAAACTAATATGACTTTATATTAGTTTCATTCCAATTATTTAGCAATTTTCATATACTCTGATAGTTTGATAATACAGATATTCCACATATTCCCCTGAAATTAAAAAATGCTTGGTTTTTGATGTCAAGTTGATAGCCATGTGCATTAATTTTTTAGTACATAAATGCAATATTTTGTTGAAACTCTTAACACTATTTAGCAAAAAGATGTTGTAATATAAATAGGAAATCTTCATGATAGTTTTCATAGTTTATGGTTAGCAGTTTTTTTGTGTGATTTAGTCAGATTTTGGCAAAGGTTCTGAATTTCTCAGCTTACTGTTTTGTTATAATATAAATTTGTCAGTTCCAATATTCTGTGAATTTGGAGGTGAAATAATATTGCATTAATGGTCATTCATTAATATTGCATTAATGGTCATGATCTTAGAATGGATCATTCATTAAATTTTATCCCCATGGAAGGGGAAAAATAAGTAAACAAGCAGCAAACTAAATAAATAATTAAATAAATAGTATCCCTAGAAAAAGCATGGAAATAGAGCTTGTCACATGTTTAGTGATGTGTTCTTTGGTCACTTTGTTAAGGAGGTCATAGACAGAGCTCCTTGATATGAGTATATATTTTTAACCGCTGCATTGTCAAGTTATCTAACGCATGATTTGTTTCTTCTGAGGAATGCCATGTTTTTACAGTTTCAGCATAAAATATCCAATATGTTGCTTTCAAAATGTCACAGTAAATTTTCTCTTTAATTGAAAAAAGTTATCCTTACTTGGATGCTAGCATTATGATACAGTATGCTGGACACTAGTTTTGATGCCTGTATCCCATATGGGTGTCAATTCAGCTTTTGCCTGCTCCATTTTCAACACCGCTTCTTGTTAATGTGCATAAGATGTCTTCTATGATGGTTCAAATGTATGAGTCCCTGACACTAATGTGGGTGAAACATATGAATTTGGGGGCTCTAGGAATCAGCAGGCTTCATCCCTGGCAATTGTGGTTATTTGGGCGAGTGAATCAGAAGTTAAAAAAAAAAATCTCTGTCTCTCCTTTCCTTTCAAATATTGTGCTTGAATCAAATAAAAAGTCCTGCTAGATGTTAACTTTCATTTTTATTAAAATTCAGCTACTATTACTTTTTAATGTTTCCCTTTGTGTTTCATGAAATTTGATAGTTTTTAATATCATGTCTCTACAGGTAGAATGTCATCCTTATCTCAACCAGAGAAAATTACTGGATTTCTGCAAGTCCAAAGAAATAGTTCTGGTCGCTTATGGTGCTCTGGGGTCCAATCGAAATCCAAAATGGTAGGAAACAAAACAAAACATACAACAAAGACAGCAATCTACCTCAAATGCCTCTGTTGAAATATAATTTGTTGTACAATACTTTTTTTAATAATTAATTATTTCCTACCTCAGGGGAGGAAAGAATTCGCATTTCAAGAAACATTTCAGATAAGGACCAATCTTAAAAATTACTGGTATAGATTGGATGGTTTAGTATTTTCAGAGCCTCATATGGAACTAAATACTCAGCTCAACAAGTTCAGCTTTCCTACTTCTCTTTCCAGGGTGGATCAGAATTCCCCAATTCTCCTGAATGATCCGATGATTTGTTCTATGGCAAAAAAGTACCAGCGAACTCCAGCCCAGATTGTCCTTTGCTACCAGCTGCAGCGTGGGGTTGTGGTCTTGGCCAAGAGCTTCAGTGAGAAGCGGATCAAACAGAATGCTCAGGTAATGAGGGCATGGGGCTGTAGGTATCAGTAATCCTGCAATTTACCATTGCTTCTTTGCAAGATATCAAGACCTTTGGACCAAGTCTATTCTCTGATTTTACTCATGCATTTCAATTTTCTGTGTATTTTTGATACATCATGATAAGAGAATCAAGATAATACAGAAAACGGAAAATAAGGTTTCAGCATTACATTTTGCAATACACTTCATGGTCTTGTGCAATGATATTTTTCTTTATTTTCTGAATTATAATATTAGATAGGGTGACTTTTGCTTTTTAAATTATTATTATTTTAGTTTGTGCTGCATAAATATTTATGTGGTTACATATTCATCGGTTGTTTTCATTTTAATTTCCCTGCCTTATGAAGCACCTGTTTAAATCTTTGCCCATTTTAACCCATTGCCAGTGTCTCTGTTTTCAATCAAGACATCTTTGTTTTATGATTAGGATAACTAGTTTTATGGCAAAGCACATTCCATGTAGAATATTATATGACAAGGATTATTTTTTTCATCTCACGATCATTTAGCTTGAAAATTAGCCTAGGTTAATGAATGAAGTATTCAGAATTATTTCCCTAATTATGCTATAGCATTTATATAGTCTGGACTTAGTTTCCGACTTGGATGCATCTGTTCAAGCATTTTCTCATGAATTATATCAAAGTTTTAATTCTCTTCCTGATGTATTTTAGTCATCAAATGCTCCTACTCTTCATTTACTTAAACTTTGATTGTAACTGATTCATGAAAGGTCTTTTCCTAACAGGAAGACATGCTGGTACTCCACTGCATTTTCCAGGAAAGTGTTAAAGTCCTTTTTTCTAAATCGGTTCATCAAGCTAATGGATGTTTGTTAATATTACCTGCAGTACATCCAAGAATCCATTGTCATGTATGCTGTACTTAAAGAAAATAAAGGATAAAATGGGATACACAAAACACATATTGAAACACCTGAGCTTGAGATTCGGTCTTGCTTCAGATGTAGGTTTCCTGGATGCTCTAGAAGGCATCATGCTGTGAGCCACATGCTTGGATGCTTGTGACCCTTGTGAAATATTCAGAATAAGTTGTAGGGTCCTGGCTTCCTTGCACCCCAGGACTGTTCTTGCAGACATTTCTTAAATGAACTGCTGGATGGGAGAGCTCTGATCCTCTGTCTCATTGTCACTGTGGTTCTCATACACTGACACATCAGATCATCCTACCAAATAGAGTTCCACAGGCACTCTCTTCAAGGTTTTTGTTTTCTTTGTTTTCCTCATTACATTCAAAATAAAGTCAAATTTCCTAGAGGCTAAACACTTTGAATTGAAACTCTCCATTGTTTTTGAGACAGTTTTCTAAGTAATGTTTTTTTTTTCAAATTGTTAACTTTTTAAATTCCTTTCTCTTTCTTTCTTTATTGGTGAACTGAATCAAAGAACATTACTATATTATTCATTTATTCCAAAATTTTCCTTTACATTCTCCTGAAAGAATATTGCTTTAAATAATATCAAATTTAGCTTTTATATTATTCATTTCCAAATTAATAATCCAGATTCCTTTTAATATGTAGTGTTGCGAAATTTCTATATACTTCATGATTTATTTTCTTTACTAATACCCAATGTTTATTTAATTGTTAACAATTGTATTCATTCATTTGAAATTTCCAACAGAATGGAAAGACACAGAGATCGATTCATTTTTTCAAATGACCTCAACGGCTACAGCATTTTCAGGCTAAATTGAGGAGTTTCTGGTTTCATTAGGGACTACAACATGCATAACAGGGAGCCAAGTATGTAGGCCAGCCTCTGCTGCTTTCCCAGATACGTTAGCAGGGAACTGTGTTGGAAAGTTGCAGCCAGACTTGAACTGATGTAAATATGGGATACTGGAGCTGCAGGCAGTGGCACATCTCGCTGGACCACAATCAATGTTTCTGATGAGCCGTTTGTTCGATCTCTCAAAATGTTTGAGGGTTTTTCAGGATTTTCCAGATCGACAGATATGCAACAGAAAAATAATTTAATAAAACTGCTTGTTTAACAGGTATTTGATTTTCAATTGTCGTCGGATGACATGAACGTGTTAGAAGGCCTAAACAGAAATCTCCGATATTTTTCAGCTGAATTGTAAGTAGTTTTGCTAAGTGTATCACCTCCATTTAATTAATAAGGGGCTGTAGCATTGGTATTAGCCAGTGATTTCCAACTGTTTTGGATATGAGTTATGGAGACTAGCATTACAGTTAAAATAAATGCTAACAAAATTATTACTTTCTTTTTTCCCAAAACGTTATCAATTTATATATAAACAAGGGCATTTCTATTATACCAGTGATTCTAGGGAGAAATTCTGTTTTGTTTTGTTTCCATTGTATTTTGGTGTAATTTTTTGTGTAATTTTTATAAGAGTAATTTGCCTTCTAAGATATTACAGATCGACTATTGCTTCAATAATTTCAGTAATTTTAAAACGCAAATTGATTCCTCAGCTTGCAGACAAGATAAATTTCCCTTTAACTTGAGAATCTGATGTACCATATTGTCAAGTAGTGCTTTGCATTACTGAAAAATGCAGCTCAGTCAGAGGAATATGGTTGAATTTCTTATATATGTTCTTTATTTAAACATCAAGTTATGTAGTATGAAAAATGAGTATGATTAAATATATTAACCATAAGGTCAGGCTCTTGAATGTAAGTCAGATTTTAAAACCAGGAAGCAAACAAAATTAATTTTTACTGTAATAGCAGTTCACAAAATCCACATCTTAAATATGCTGGAAATGTATTTACTGAGTTTGGGTTGTATATTTTTCTCATTCTAGTCTTCTCGAGCATCCAAATTACCCATTTGCTGATGAATATTAACATGGGAGACTTTTATGACTTCTTCCTGAAGAGCTTGCAAATGGATCATAACGTAGGAGACATCTCAGATACTGGTGACCACGCACCTCACTTCTGGTTGATCTTTGCCATCTAGCGGTTCTGAGCTATAGCCGTATCCACAGCGCATATAACCACCGTGACAGTAGATTCTTATCACTGTGAGAAAAATGAAAGTGGTAATTTGTTAAAGATTCTTACTTGATGCTGTTTGTATTACAGACCTGCTTTGTTGCATTCAGAATGGTCAGTCCCTAACACTGATTTGCATAGAAGCTTGCAGAACTTTGGTGACAGACGACAGCAGCTGGTCCATGAATGCACCAGGAGAGGGGTGGGAACCATGAGCTTGTAAGGCACTTTGTGACGAGTTTTCAGTCTTTGTTTTTCCAGTGCATCCAGGAAGCTGAAGTCTCACAACACAGAGTTCAAAACGTGAGGCACTACTCCACGGATACAGTCTAGGATCTGTGTTCCAGCTGCTTATGGGTCAGAACTGCACCCATTTGAGTATCGTGTATCTTTGGAGGAGGATTAGTCTCTGTTGAGGGGATTTAATCTGGAAGAGAAGTTAGAAGTCAGATTTAACAGACTAAAAAGTGGAGGCTTAACCCAACTCTACCTTGGAATTAGAGAATGTTCTACAGTAATAATAACTTCAGATAAAGGATAACTTTCCACTTATTTATCTCAGTGACAAAGTTGAGTCTTAGGGATTTTTACTTGGTAATCAAGAGAAACACTAAAGTTCTTGGTGATGTAGTGAAACATAAAGACAACAAAGCAATGTAATGATAAAATAGAGCTAAATGTTAGCACCCATATTTTCCATTTTTTGAGGTTTTGATTTTTGTCTCTTAAAATTCTTAAACATAAAAGTAGGCAGGCCCAACAATGCAAAATGCATTGTATCTCAAAAAACAATGGCTATCAAATAGGCTTTTCGAAAGCATTTCTTCAGCTGAGAAAAACCATACAAAATTGGCAAGCCATGATGCTCTCCAAGTGATTCACCCATGAAAGTGTAAAGCCTATGGATTTGGGACACTATTTTGTCTTCATCAATCCCTTAAGGAGCACAGATAATCTCAATAACTTAAATTTCATCAATGGTATGATAAACCTCAAATCTGGAGGTTAAATAATTTAATTAATTTTTTTTTCTGTTTACCTTCCAAGCCTGGTTAACAATTTCACTGTTTGAAAGTGACAACGGTTTTAGTGACTGAAGCATTTAATTTTTTTTTTAGTCATGTGCATTTCCCCCCTGATTTGGAACTAACAACTCCAGAGAAAAAGATCCCCTTTTGTCTTGTGAATCTTTTTATTTCTGAGGTATCCATATAGTGTAGTCTCTCATTCATGGTGGATATGTTCCAAGACAGTCAGTGCATCCTGGCTAAATACAGATACATGCTTTCTATCCAGGTATACAACTTTACTATGTGCAGATAGGAGCTACATGGAACTATGTTTCTTTTACCAATGTACAAAAAGAAAACTTCTAAAAGAGGGAGGGAGAGAGAGAGATAGAGAAAGATAGCTACAGCAGGAGAGTAATAAGAATGCCTAATAATAATGATGTAGGAAATATAAACACATGCTGTGCAAAGAATTATTTGAAAATATATCATTCTCTCAAAGTATCTAAGAATACCAAAACACTTTAAATTACGGTTGTAAACTTGGATACTTAAATGATAAAATAGTTTCTGTGTTTTGATTCTACATATGTCACATGGGTATATGTCAGTAAATGTACCAATAAGGATAAGTCATCAACATACACATATTAGGTTATATTACAATCATAATCATATAATCACATTAAAATAAAATGCAAAAAAATCACGCCTTGTGTATAGTAAATTTAAAGTGTGGAATGTGTTTTTTGTCTTTACTGTTCTAGCTACTGTCTTGCTTCAGTTGAACGATTTGTTTTTCTCCTCTCTTTGTTCCAAAGCAGAGTCAATAAGGTGGAGTTCAGCCATTTATTGCTGGATTTTAGCCTCATACTCATTTTCTTAGGACTTGAGAGGACTGACACATAGCTGACTTCAAAGTCCTTTTATGCCACATAGTTTAGAAAGGAATAACAGCAATTCTTTTTTAAAATATCTTCCCCACCCAATCCCACAATTAAAAACAAAATTGAAAACACATGCCATAAAACCCATATTGATATATGTTTCAAATAATGTTTAATGAAAAAACAGGGGTTGAGTGCTATAGCTCAGAGGCTAAATCCTTCCCTTGCACACACTGGGATCCCATATGAATGCTGGTTTGTGTTCCAAGTGCTCTACTCCCCATCAAACTCCTTGCTTGTTGCTTGGGGAAGCAGTGGAGGATGCTCAAAAGCCTTGGGACTCTGCATCCATGTGGAAGAATGGAAGAACTCCTGGATCCTGCTTCATTTCTGGCCATCAGGCCACTTGAGGTGTGAACCTCAAGATCTTTCTGTCTCTCCTCTGTAAAATAAATCTTTAAAAAAGTAAAAAAATGGTAGACATATGTCTCGCATCTACACAGAGGCAAACAATTCTGAAAAATATTTGCATTCTGAATCTGACAACAAAGTAACAGCAGCAACTACAAAAATGTAATTCTTTTGCTCAACTGGAATTAGAGATGAAGAAATGATTCAGCAAATAAAAATGTACGCTGTATAGCGTAACAGAATTGATGATAAATCAACTAATCATATTAATAAACTAAAATAAATTAATAAAATATAGCACTGACTCATGAAATTAAAAAGTAATAAAAAATCATGGATAGAAGAATGTTAACTATACACAAAAAGTCTCATTATTACATGACAAGCACAGATTCATACCGTGTGATTGGGGAAAAAGCCATAAGCACTTTCAGTAAATATGGAACAAAACAAGGGTATCTACTCTTAGCAATCTTATTCAGTATAGTCTTAGATGTTTAAGACCAATATTACAAAAGAGGAAGAAATAAAATGTGTACAAACAGAAATGAGTGCGACAGATTATCTCTGGAGATGACAATTCCACATAGATTCAATCATTTTACTAAAAATTCCAACAAAATATGTTCAGAATTGGTAGGTGAATTCAGCCAAGTTGTAAGAAAAATAAAAAACAAACACCAAAAGTGTAGCATTTTTAAAGATTCATATATTTCGTATTAAAAAGGCAGATTTACAGAGAGAAGAAAAGACAGAGAAAAAGATCTTCAATCTGCTGATTCACTCCTCAAAAGCCCACAATAGCCAGAATTGAGCTGATCCCAGGTCAGGAGCCAGGAGCTACTTCTGTGTCTCCCACATGGGTACAGGGGCCAAAGACATTGAGCCATCCTCTGCTGCTTTCCCAGGTCATAAACAGGAAGCTTGATTGAAAGTGGAGAGGCTGGGACATGAACAGGCACCCATATGGAATCATGACACTTGAAGGAAGATTAGCTATTTGAGCCATTGTGCGAGCACCAGCAGTAGCATTTTTAAACATCTGGGTTTCAAGGGGAGCATCTTCTATTTATCCTCAGATTACTATTCAAGCAATTACAAATGTTACCATGGCAAGTGGTTCAAAACACATGTTTTCCATATGTACATATTCATCCTAATCCAGCAATGGTCACTTCAGAACATGGAGGTTCGCAAGCAACCTCCATTTGGTTGCCAAGGGTATCCTTGAGACAGTTACATATTGACTTCTGTACATTTGTCACACTGTTGCTTCCTGATCATTAAGCACTGGCTGGGTCTTAGCAATAATGTTTGTGCCACAACAAACCCTGTAATTTGACTCCCCAAGCAATTTCATAAAAGATTGAGGCACTGAGCCTTCTAAGTAGAAGGCTCTTTCTTCAGAAAGTGGAAGAGGTTCCCTCTGGTCATTCACTTCTATAGTTTCATTTTGTATTTCTTAGTTTCTCATTTGCATGTTGCTCCTTCTCCAAACATGTTTATGTTGCTCTGGTCGTGGCAAAGAATGCTTAATTTTTAAAAAGATTTATTTATTTTTATTGGAAAGTCAGATATACAGAGAAGAGGAGAGACAGAAAGAACTTCTGTCCGTTGATTCACTCCCCATGTGGCCAAGATGGTGGAAACAGAGCTGATGCGAAGCAAGGAGCTTCTTAAAAATTAGGGCTTCCAAAATTAGAATCGGTGCCCTTATGGGATCCTGGCACATAAACAGCAAGGATTTTAGCCACTAGGTTATTGCGCCTGGCCCAGAATGTTTAATTTTGAAAAGGCAGGAAGAAGCCTCATACCTGCTTGCCACACACCATGGTTACTTAATTCTTAGGCTTAACTGTGATCCAGCTTATGCTATCTACAGAGCATAGCCAACGTTGCACATTCACAGGAAAATCTCTAAGTTTAATGATTTGGTGTAAAGATTCACAGGAAAAGTCATAGTAATAACCATTTCTGTAGTTAACTTAGTAAAGATACAAAATAAAAGCAGGACAAAGAAAATGAATACAGATCCAAATATAGATGAAATCTGGCATATATTCAACACACTCGCCCTGCAATTAAATGTTATGAGAAAATGCTTTGAGAAGCAAATGTTTGGAGAAGCAAAGCTCCTGTACATTTCAGCAGAGGCACATGCTGCAGACAGCCTCTGGTAGCATACGGTGCTATGTGTACACAACGGCCACTGCATGTACAGCAGTCAGCATAGTCACAATCATTCTGATTCAGAAACTGAATATCAGAAATGTAAAGCAACCAGATTTTCAAGTTAAAGAACACTTAGAAACCACTGAGCTGCCTGAACAAAATAACTACCAGCATGACTTGTCTAAATACGAATCAAACTTTCATTCTCCATAGACAATGAACTAGACCAAGAATAGAAAATCAGCAACCTTTCAAAGAGTGATCACAATTCAGGAAGAAGTCCTCCCAAACTTCAATGAAAGTTTTAGAAACTTTTTGATAATACTTCTTTCCCATTTCTATCAGATATCTTTTTCTTTCTTGCCAATTATGGTTCCATATACAGCATAATTCCTCTACATTACTAACTTCATTTGCCTATAGATTGTAAGGCCAGGTGTCTTCCTCATGACACTGGTACATCTGAATAAAGTCCTAATTTAACTATCTAAGTCAAGTTTACATTAACCCACTTTCCCTTTCTTTGGCATGGTGTGCCCCTTGGTGGGAAATCTTTTATTACCAAAGGACAGATATCTCTCATAAAGCATATTACAGAATTTGGATTATTGTTTCACTGAGTGCATCATTTAATAAATAAAGTTATTGCTCCATTTTGATGTGTCTTTTTTATTTAGTCTTTCATTCTTCAATCTATATATTGATCACCTGTACATTCCTACATCAGCACATCTATTAATGCCTATCATCTGTGAAAAATTATATGCCCTTAATGACATGATTGTGACAATGGTACGATGATATCCTAGTATTATAAACACTCCCTAATGCCTACAACTCAAACACATTATCTTGGAAAAAATAATTCCAGACAATTAATATATTCTATTTTTAAATTTATCTTATGTATTTGAGAGAGAGAGTGAGAGAGAGAGAGAGAGATTTCGCATTTGTTGCTTCACTTCTCAAGTGGCTGCATGGCTAAAGATAGGCAAGACTTGTTGTGAGGATCTAGGCGCTCCTTCCAGCTCTTCCACATGAGTGCACAAAGCATCTTCCACTGCTTTCCTAAGAACAAGAACAAGGATTTGTATTAGAAAGGAACAGCAAGTTCTTAAGTCAGCATTCATATGGGATTCCAGTTTCTCAGGCAGCAGTTTACTGCCTATGCCGCAATGCCAGCCCCTAATTAAGACTGTTCTGATGAAGAGGTTACCAGCTTACATACAGAAGTTCCAAATCCAATGAACACATTTTTTTGTAAATGTTTATTTTTATTTGCAGTATTTATTGAGAGGGAAGAGGGAGACAGGGAAACAAGGGAAGAAAGAGACTCAGAAAATCTTCCTTATGCTGGTCAGCATCCAATTAAAGATTTTCAGGGCACTTTCCAAGGTTCATTGGATCAACTATTGTCAGTGGGAAGTGGAGCAGATGTGAAAGAATTAGAAAATTGAATCAGGGATAAGTATGTCATCCAATTTTGTTGGTTTTCTTCACCTGATGTGCATTTTAAAAAAATGTTAGAAACTGGTGAATCTAGGTGAAAAATATCAACTTCCATCTGAGTGTCTTTTGACCTGATTGGTGCTACACTATTACAAGATCTCCAATGAATGAGTGAACCCATGGATAGTACTGGATTCAGTCTAAGCTATATGTGCTCCCAAATATGCTGTGCTAGTCAGTTTGTCATTGCTATAAAATAACTCAAAGGAGCTAATTCAAGAGGTTTATTTTGCCTTTCGGTTCAATATTGGATAACTAACCCAATTTGTTAAGATATTATGGCAAAATACATTTTGGTGTGATCATAGTACAGCTGACAGTAGAGAGGGACCAAAATCTTTCTCAAGTACATCTGTATCTTTTAATTCATTGTGACTTGATTATTCCGGGGTATGTGTGGAAATTCCAGGAAACTAGGCAAATTTAATCAATTCCGAAATACCTCCCCTACAACTCCATTATTGGATTACAGCCTCAGTTTATCCCAACAGCCATGAGCATTAATTCAATATCCTTTACATAAGGCATCAGGATTTAAACATAGATGCAAAGTTAGATCAAGTAAGAATATTAATGACAATAGTAAAGTAGAATAATCATCATAATTCATCTTAGAGGCATTAGGAAATGAGCAAATATAAAAATCAGCATCCAATTAAAGATTTTCAGGGCACTTTTCAAGGTTCGTTGGATCACTATTATCCGTGGGAAACAAAACGCTCCAATGCAGGAATGTCTTTCTAGCCCAGCCAAAGAAGAGGACTGTGGAATTTTCCCACAGCCAAAGCTGCTACTAGTTATTGGGGTGAAGTATCTTCTTTTTCTTTTCTTTTAAAAGATTTTATTATTATAATTGGAAAGTCAGATATACAGAGAGGAAGAGACAGAGAGAAAGATCTTATGTTGGATTATTTACTCCCCAAGTGGCTGCCACTGCCAGAGCTGCACTGATCCGACATCAGGGTGTGGTTAGAAACTTGCATTTTCTAACATATTGGTCACTCAATACCATGCCAATTAGCTCCATAATGTTAGAAATTGTTGTGGATATTATGTTATGGTTTTTCACTGGACTGATGATATTCTGCCAGCTCTGTTTTCAGACCAGGAATGGTCTCCCCAAGAAACCATTGAATTTATCTGGACAATAAGATGCTGGACTCTATGCATGGTACATGCTTGTAATGAAGAAATTATGACTGGATTTGAACTGTAATACTGCAACAAGGTGGAGGAATCCACCATGGGGGGAGGGCATGCAGAAGGGTTGGGGGAATCCCAGAAACCATGAAACTGTGTCACAAAATGAAAAAAAAAAAAAAGAAGGAAAGACATAAAAATAACACACACAACATCGGGATAGAAATGATTAAATCATAACAAAAAATTAATCAGGAAGATAGGTGTCTGAAGATTTAAAATCTGACAAAAACAATAAGTATTTGTAAAAGGTCACATAAGTCTTTGTAATAATGTGTACAATGCTTTAGCAGAGAAAATCTTGTAAATGTTTCTCTCATCAGTAACAGGAATCCTTTTATATTTTAAATAGTAGTTGGTTTCCAGATTCCTCTCACATGTGGAATTTGAGAAATATTTCTTTAACTTCACCCCTTTCAGTATCATAGACTTTGGACAGGCAATTTGAATATTGAGTTCCTTTTACTCTTGTGAAAGCAGAAGGAGTAAATAGAGTGTGCCTGGCCTCAGCAATGAAAGCAATGTATCCCGACCTTCAGCGTGTGGCACTAAATGACGGTCAATTCATGCCAGCACTGGGCTTTGGAACCTATGCATCGGATGAGGTAATCTGTATTGTTTGTGCTTGAGGGGACAAAAGAAAGCAGATCTAGGGTAGGTGGAAAGAGGCGTGGATTTTGAAGTTATTCAGTTTCTGAGTAACACTGCATATTTTACTTGGTTTTCCAATTCACCAGGGGAGAACTTTTTCATGCCTAAGATTCTGCTTAGTCATAATTTATTTTACTTGACCAGATAACACTGTGTTATGTAACTGTTTGATCAAAGTTTAAACTTACTGTACCCTGTGCAAGACTTAGGTAAATCATTTATCAGGATGTGGGTCCTTTTGAGTGGAACAGCATGAAGGAGAAAAAAAGATACAAGAATGCCAGGTAAAAGTTAAGCTGTGATAAGTACCTAAGCAACATTAAACCTATGAAACATGTAAGGCTGATATTAAGAGAGGGTGTTAGGATCTAATATCTGACTTGATATGATTTCATTAAATAATATCAGCCTCTCAAATTCTTTAAATAAATTGAAAAAAAAAAGATTTGCTTAATTTTCTTTTTTGTTCTTTAACAAACATGGATCATTAAAGATTATTTTGTTGTTCCTCTAGATTCCTAAGAGTAAGGCATTGGAAGCAACCAAAATTGCTTTAGACGCTGGCTTCCGCCATATTGATTCTGCTTACATGTACAAAAATGAAGAGGAGGTAGGTCAGGCCATCCGTAGCAAGATTGCAGATGGTACTGTGAAGAGAGAAGACATATTCTATACTTCCAAGGTACAATAGATTTTAATTATGAAGTGTTTATTAGCAAAATGCCAAGTATATGAATGGAAATTATGTGAAATTGTAAGTAGCTTATGAGGAATGTTTCTTATGTATACACTGTTATTGCTTGCTTTACTTTCTTTTTTTTAGTATTTACTATTTGTTTTTAAATTAAGCAATTTCTGATCTTTTATCCTATTCATAGAGATAAAATAGGGATAAAATAAAAGATGAAGATAAAATAAAAGATCAGAAATTGCTTAATACACACACACACACACACACACACACACACATATGTACTGTTATATCCTGAAAACAGGGCTATGACATTTACACAAGGCAGGATTTTCACAATGGTCATGGAGTGGGGAAATTAAGATATTTTTACAAATATGATAAAACTGAATGAAGGCAGGTTTTTAACTAGTTGGATACATATTAACATGACATCAACACAATTTTAATGATGAACATAGTAACTACCCCGTGTAAGGGGAAAATGTAACGTTTGTCTGTGTGGCTTTTCACTCAGTGCAAAGATCTTCAGTTCCATCAGTTTTATCACAAATACTGACATTTCATTTTTACAGCTAAGAAATATATAGTACGTTAAAGTTGACTTATTTTTGCTATTGTGAGTTGGGCTGCTGTAAATATGGGAGCACAGCTATATTTGTCATGTGATGATTGCACTTTTATTGCATATCTCCCAAAAGTGAATAAGCTAGTCACACAGTGGACTCAGTTTTAGTTTTTCTGAGGAATCTCTATATTGTTTTACATAATATGTGCATAAATTTCACCCCAAGAGCGTATCAAATTTCATTGTCTACAATTCGTTCTGCTTTTCATTAGTGTTAATATTTGATACTAGCAATTTAAACTGGAGTGAAATATCTCACCATGATATTTATTCTCATGTTCCTGAGCACTTTTTGTCATATGATTTGGTCATTTGTTTTTGCAAAGTATCTAGTCATATCTTTTGTCAATTTCTTGTTTGTTCTTCAATTTCTGTTGGTTCTTTTGTTGGCATTATTAATCTTATTTACTTGGTGTATTATTTTTATTATCAGATGTGTGCTTTTAATAGCTAAAAAGCAATTAATGAGGTGAACAAACAACTTTCAGAATGGGAAAAATATTTGTAAAACATACATCTGATATATTATATCCAATAATGGGTGTCAAAGTTGCAGCTAGTGGTGCTTCAGTTTCACAAAGCCACCCCAACCATATGAATTCTAAGAATTATTTAAAGATATATTTATTTACTTGAAAGGAAAACTGATAGAAACAGAAAGAAGGGGGACACAGAAAGAGAGAGAGGAGGAGATAGGGGAGAGTATCCATCTCCTGGCTCATATCCCCAAAAGTGGTAAAAACCTGTGCTGATCAAAAACCAGAAGCCAGGAACTGCTTCAGGGTCTCCTACATAGATGCAAAGGACTTGGGTAATATTCTTCTGCATTTCCAGGTGCATTTTCAGGGAACTGGATTAGAAGTGGAACAGCCAAACCAGAAAGTGGTGCACATACGGGCTGAGGGTGCTGTAGGCAGCCCCTTTTCAAGAATGTGCTTAAATTTTGATGGAGATTGCTTTAAATATATGCCTTTCTTGGTATATTATGGACACGTTGACAACATTTATTCTTTAAGTATAAGAATCCTGGGGATTTCTCCAGTTGTTTCTTCTGTTTCTTTCATATGGTTTTGACATTTTCTTTGTAGTGAGCTTTCATAGACTTGGTTAAATGTACTCAAAAGTATTTAACTTTTTAAAACTCCTGTAAATAGGTTTGATGTTATATGTTCTTTCTCAGACAGATCATTTTTGGTATATTTAAGAATGCTACAGAGTTTTTATCCTGAAGCTTTCATGACATACTTATTAGTTACAATAGTCTCCTGTTAGACTCTCTCAGGTACATTTTGTATAGAACGATGAAATCTTCAAACAGGGACTATTTAACTTCTTCCTTTCCAATTTGGATCACCCAGTGTCTTTTTCATATATAATGATTTGGCTATCTTCCAGAATAATACTGAATAAAAATTGTGAGAGTAGACATTCTTGTCTTGTCTCAGATCTTAGTAGAAATGCTTTCAGATTTTAACCATTTAGTATGATACATGTGATAGTGTACAAGAAATCTCAGACCATTAGCATTCATTTTAATTTTTTGTCTTTATTTTGAGATATTTCAAATGAACTGACTTCTAGATCTTTTATTGTTTCTCCTGTTTCTTCTGTTCTCTTATTAATACTTTTCATTCCATTTTAATGTGATTTCTTTGAGTTCTTCATTTCTAATATTTCAGTCTGGTTCTCTTCTGACATCTTGGAATTTTCTCTGTATCCTCTATCAAATGTAATTCAAACAGTGATAATTATCATTACTTGATAAAATATTTATCTCAGACATAACATCACCCATGGTTCAATATATTTATGAATAGTATCCAAATAAGTGAAATAGATTATGGGAATATATCTGGACACATGAAGCACAAAAAGAATGTATTTTCCTTCAGTATTTGTCACTTTTTTTACTAGTTTAAAAGTCTCTATATTAATTTATAGAATCAAAAAGTTTAGCTATTTTATTCATCAGCGCAACTTCTACTGTTTAATCATTATAGCTTGCATCTATGTTTCATCGACCAGAACTGGTTCGACCAAGCCTGGAAGAATCACTGAAAAAACTTCAACTGGATTATGTTGACCTCTACATTATACATTTCCCAGCAGCTCTGAAGGTAGGCAGTGAGCATCTTTAGATTTATTTCATTCTAGCTGTCAGCATGATCACCATTTCCATGGAAGATCGGTACTGGTAAACATAGAAGCCTACTTTGTACAAGTTCTATAAACTACTCAAGCTTGTGTAAGTACTAGAATTTATTAGGTTGTATGGCTGGAGAGCTTAAGCTATGAGTAGTCTTACTGATCTGAAGTAACCTAAGATTTTTAAAAAATTTTTATCAGTAATTACCACTTATACTATTATATATTTACTTACTTTTTGACTGAGTTTTTTTTTATTAGAGCAATATATGCTTGTTGGGAATTATTAAATTATAGTGATTAACATTTGATAGCTTCTCTGTACCTTGCAACATTAAAATTATTAACCAACAGAATGTTGATACATTTGACCAAATGCTCACCACAGGATCCTGATGTTTTTAGGGAAAGGAGGTAAATTGAATGTTTAACCTAGGTCAAAATTGCAATCTATTATTGGTGCAGATAAAGGGAACTTAAGTATGGACACTCAAAGTGAATGAGAGGCATTTCTCTGAAGTAGAACACAATACAACATAATTCATGGTACCCAATTGAGACCTACAAAAGAGCATTTCGAAATTCACATCATATAAATGAGAAACAAAGGAAGTCTGTAGCATCATGGCTTTCTTTACTGCTTCATGTACAATATACATTGCAAATATAAGCATATTAATATTGCTGCATGTACTTTCTGGGAGTTTAATTCGCCAACACTGAATTCATGGGGATGTTTCACAATGAAGTGAGTTCTTGAATTTGGTGATATAATGAAAAATGATTGTTTCTATTCCAGCCTGGAGGAGATAGTTTTCCAATAGATGAACATGGAAAATTAATATTTGACATGGTGAATCTGTGTGACACATGGGAGGTAAGTATTGAAAATAATGGGGATACATGTATCAGGGAGAGGGTGGTGTATCATGTCACAATTCAGAACAGGATTTTCATTGTTTGATGTAGAAATTAATGCCTTTGGTGGTGTTGATATGCTGGAGTATTGATGGAGGAAGGTAATACTGGGATATAACAGAGAAAACAAATAAGATTTAGTAGCAATGAAAGCAAATCCGTTTTTTTGCGATTACATATGGTATTTTTTTCTGATTTCGTAAGCTGGACACAGGAATTACTGTTTTTTTTTTTCTTACTGTCACCATTTTCTCCATTTCTGTACTAGCTTTTCACTTTGGACCAATTACCTTTAGTTTCATTGAAACGTGACAGTGTTTGACCTTATATTATTTTAGCCAATTGTGGAAATATCTCTTTATTATCTTTCCTTTTAGGCCATGGAAAAGTGCAAAGATGCTGGATTGGCTAAGTCCATTGGGGTTTCCAATTTTAACCGCAGGCAATTGGAGATGATTCTTAATAAACCAGGCCTCAAGTACAAGCCTGTTTGCAACCAGGTAAACACTCTAATTCTCCAATCCTGCTTTTCGTTCTCTTCTTCCTATCCATTTGAACAAGAGGCTCTGCTTCTCAATCTACTGTGTAGACAGAAGAGTCTATAGGCAGACCCTTCAAATGAAGGGGTGATTGCATTCTCCATTGCGTTTGCAAGCGGTAATGTCTTGGTGAAAAACTGAGATTTTAATGCTAAAATATTGGCAAAAATATGAGCTAAAGCATGATAAATAATCAAACCTCACTTTGGCACTGGGTTTTTCCCATATTAATGAAGGATACATTGGACAATACCTGATTTACCAACTGTTGGAATAAAATAGAAGGCACGGAATATAAGAAACAATGTCACAAAAACATGGTATGGATAGTTAATAAAAACTTAGTCAAAAATGGGAGAAAACAGATGACAAAAGTTGGTGTGATTCTCAGATAACTGAATTATTTTAATTTTATTTATTTAAAAGGCAAAGTTACAGAGATAGGGAAACACGCATACACACACTCACTCACACACCACATACACATGAAGAGAGAGAGGTCTTTCATCGTTTCTGGTTCATTCCCAAATGGTGTCACTGAGCCAGGACAAAGCCAGGAGACACAAACTGCATCCAGGTCTCTCACATGGAAGCAAGGACTCTTGATCTTGACCCGTCATCCACTGCATTTCTATGCACTCATGAGCAGAGATCTGGGTCAGAAGTGAATCAGCAGGGACTCCAACCGAAATTCATGAGTTGATGACATTACAGATGGAGGCTTAGCCTACTCTACTACAGTGTCACCACCCAGATAACTAAAGGCCTGCTTCCATGTATCTTGAACAGCTGCCTAGCTGCAGGAAAAGTCAGCTGGAGACTATGATAATAATCTGGGGAAGCAGGAGGAAGTTACCCATAACTATTTTGTGCCTGGTGATATGATGTAACTTAATATCTGATAACTTCCTATCACCAACTTTCAAAAATTTAGAATATTTGAAAGACTAATGCAAATCCTCAATGCTTCTCCATCAGTACTCAAAATTGTTTACATCATTTCATGTGTTCAAACTTGGTGGACATATTCAACTGTATCTTCATACATATGTGCATTTTTTTTTCTGAAGTTCTTGTAAGTATATGATGAATATGACTATTTACCCTTTACAGTAATTGGCAAGGAATGTTTTAGGGCTGAATTTATTGTCCTGGAACTTTAAATTTAATTATTGTATCTAAAAGCATTAACAATTCTCTTCTATTGTTTAGCATTAGTCCTTTTTGTAATTTTCATAGATGCTCCCAAGTGTCTTGTATGTTAAATGTGAATAAGATATTAGTTAAAATATAGAATATTGTCCTGTTCCTCCTAATGTATTTTTTTTTCTAAAATCATCACTAATCATTTTTCCTATGCTATTTGAACAGATTTTGTCCGATGTTCTGGATTTGTCAGTCTGTTATCTCATTGATCACTGTTTTCTAATTCAACGTCATGCAAGATATCATTTATATTTGAATGCTAGACAGCATTAAAGTTAAAGGATTTTGCCAACAACATGTCCTTAGAATGCCGTGCTAACCAATTTGTTCCCTATTGTGCAGCACAGAGTGACAATGACAATGTGACTTGATCATTGCCACTAAATTATTAAAAGCAAGATCTCTTTTTGGTGCACATGTTTTTTTAATTCATTGCAATTATTCATAAATTGTTAAAATGCAATGTCCAATCAAGGATGCAATACTCCTTAACAAGCTATACTATTCTTGGATGATTTTTGTCTTTAATGGTTTTTGCTTTGTGATTTGTAAATAATTGTTTGCACTACAATCTTTTTACCTTATCTACATGATATTTTCATCTTAGTTCAACATAAATTATAATTATTACCATGAGACAGAAACAATATAGCACCACCTCTTAAAGCAGAAAGAAAGTGGTGATTGTGATAATCACTATCCACAGGACAAAAGGCTTTCTCTCTCTCTCTTTCTCTCCCCTCTTCTCCCTCCTCTCTCTCCTGCCCATTCTGCCTAACTATGTTCTCTTTATTCATAATTATGATCTCGAAGTTATTATACACACCATATGTTAAAATTGATTTTAATAGTTTTTTAAATGTTCAGTTCTGATTTCTATCTAAGTTTAATCAGGGATTTTTTTTTTTAAGTTTTCCCATTTTCCCCCAATGATTTTTGGAAAACTTTTTGCTTTCAGGCACATTTAAAATTCTAGGCCCAGAAGATGCCTTTCTTGTCTCCTTTGTGCTGTGTGTCCTCTACTTTAACAGAAAGCTATTTACCAACAAAGGTCTGGTCACAGAACTGATTTTTTGACAGAAATGCTACTTATTCACCCATCGGTGGGACAAAATATTAAATTCACTGCTTTAAACAGTCCTTATGTGGGTTGGTGTGATGATGTAGCATGTTATGTTGCTTAAGGGGACCACACCATATTGCAGAGCTAGTTCTAATATATCCCCTGGCTAAATGTGCCCCTGCCATTGCCTTTAAAATAATTAAAAGGACAGGTAAATAAAAATAAGCAATGAAGCAAACTATAAAATCTACTAGATGATGGTATTTTTGGTTTGAATTTCATATTTCCTTTAAAATTTAGCTGGTTTTACTGTTTAAAATTTCCCTTTATGTTACTATTTCAGATAAACTGATAATTTTCTATTTTATCTGTTCACAGGTAGAATGTCATCCTTATCTCAATCAGAGCAAACTGCTGGATTTCTGCAAGTCCAAGGACATTGTTGTGGTTGCTTATAGTGCCTTGGTAAATGAAAAATGTAAAGCTAACATAATATAATCTTGATGATGAAATATTTTTTATTATTGCATTCTGAATTTTACAGTTAACTGCCAATTACCCAGGGAAAGGGGCAGGACTTGAATTGTTAGCAAAACATTGGACGTTATTAGTTTTGCTCTCCTAGGGCAATGATTGAGGTACACTTGCTAGAGTCTATCTCCTATTCTTTTTTTGTGTGTTAATTAATTTATTTTTATTGGAAAGTCAGGTAAACAAAAAGGAGGAAAGACAGTGAGGAAGATCTTTTGTTTGCTGATTCACTCTCGAACTGGCCATAAAAGCTTAGAGCTGAGACATCTGAAACCAGGAGCCAGAAGCTTCTTCTGGGTCTCCCATGTGCTGCAGCGTCCCAAGGCTTTAGGGCTGTCCTTAACTGCTTCCTCAGGCCATAAACAGGGAGCTGGATGAAAGTGGAGCTGCCAGGACACTAGCCAACTCCCATATGCTCCCATATGGAATCCCAGTGCATGCAAGGCAAGAACATTCGCCTCTGGGCTACCACATGGGGCCCTTATCTCCAATTTTGTTTTGGAAATCAATAAAACTGAACAGTCAGCCATGCTCTGCTTTTCTACCTTTTCTTCCAGGGTGGACCAAAGCTCCCCAGTTCTTTTGGATGACCCAGTGATTTCTTCCTTGGCAGAAAAACACAAGCGAACTCCAGCCCAGATTGCCCTTCGCTACCAGCTGCAGCGTGGGGTGGTGGTCCTGGCCAAGAGCTTCAATGAGAAGCGGATCAAAGAAAATATTCAGGTGATGGCTGGGCTATTACTAACATAACTCCTATAATAGGTAATTCTTTGCAGTCTCAAGATAGTGCTAAGCAAGCCTATTTCTGGTTTTGCCCATCCATTCAAGATTTGTGTGAATTTCTGAATCATAAGCAGAAAACAGAGAAAGGGTTTCAATATTAAATTGGTATTATAATTAATGGCCTTATACAAGTGACATCTTCTCTTATTAGCTGAGCTGCGGATGTTAGATTATCTGACTTTTTAAAACTAATAAAGTTTTAGTAATCCTATTTTTCACTTGAGTTTTGTGTGTTGTGAAGCACATAGTCAAGTCTTTGTTAAATTGATAATGCTTATGTTTTCGAGCAAGGACAATTATTCTACCACTTATTGGAATTCTAAAACAAAAGCCTGCCACATAGATTAACAAATAATGGAAAGCCTTATTTAATCTCAGGATATAATCCAAGGGCAATAAGTAGAAAAGTGCAAACATTCACAGAATTGGAATATTAATGTTTCTGGCAAATTCTGTTGATCACTTATTAGGCTAGGCCATATAAAACAATGGAGCAATGTGGAAAAGGTGGGGCAATAGGTGTTAGATTCAAAGGACATGGAGGGGAGAGGAGTGAACTATCATGAGGAATTCTAATAGATGTGTAATATGGAGGGTGTCTATTCTAGAACTTGACTTTTAGATGAACACATCTTTAAAATCTAATATCAGATTTTGTATCAGTATTCTAATTCTTTTCGTGATGTATTTTCATGACCGGAAGTCCTACTCTTCATGGAGTTAGATCTTCTGTGTTCACTTGCGACTGATGCAGGTTATATATTTTGGAAAATATGGCCTTATTCTACTGTATCATCTACGAAGCGTTATAGTAGCTTAATCAACATGGTCACTAACTCGACTGACATTAAATAGTATGTGAAATACACATATGCATTTTTACTTTTTCTTATTTTAAATTATTTTATTTATGTAAAGTAAGTAAATTCCACAATACAGATTTAACAGCATAGGAATACTTCCCACACTGCCTCCTGCCTGTGTTCCTCACTTACCCTCCTCCTTCCAGAGTTAACCTTTACAAAAATTTTTACAATGACATACTTCCAAGTCACTTCACAATCATAGGCTTACTACTCCAGCTGGTAAAGAATTAAAAAACAAAAATACGAAGTAGAACAAAACCCACTATTTTCCAGAGAATAGACAAAGGCTGTAAACAATAATCAGATTTCAAAATGTCAATCTTGCTTGCTATAGAAGGAGGGCGTTCCTCACAGGCTTTGGTGGGCACCCCAACCCCTGCCAAAGCTCCAGACCATTCTCCAGGTCAGCAGGGTCATAGATTGCCCTCTCAGCTCAAATCCCCTAGTCACAATTGGGAAAGGCAGATAATATGGTGGCTTAAGATGGTGCTTCCTCCCCACTATTGACCTGGGAGCTGGAAGGTAGGTCTGTGTGGCTCCTGATTATTGCATTGACATTTTTCATTTTCCTTGAGAGTATTATTATTATTACTATTATTAATTTTATTCTTTTATCAAATATCTTCCTCCCTTCCTCCAATTTTTCCTCTCTTCCTTCCTTACTCCCTTCTTTGTATGAACCTCCCCTCAATATCTATAGATAAGATGAATTTGGTTCTCCAGTTTACATTGAAATTTCTTTTAACTATAATGTTCTACAGGTTCAATATATCTTATTTAGCAATGCTCCTATTTTTATTTTTATTCAACATTTATGCATGGCTTATGTATTTTATTTGATGTTGTAAAGTATTTGGAAACTTTCAGAAGTTTCCAATTTGATAAACATACAGTATAAAATAATTTTTAAAACATTTCTATTTCTCAAATAGGTTTTTGACTTTCAGTTGTCTTCAGAGGACATGAAAGCTCTAGATGGCCTGAACAGAAATCTTCGCTATACCACTGCTGATATGTAAGTGACTTTGTAAGATATCTTTTTTTTGAAAAATTTTTTTATTATTTTTTTTTATTGGAAAGGCGGATATACAGAGAGGAGAGACAGAGAGGAAGATCTCCCGTCCGATGATCCACTCCCCAAGTGAGCGCAACGGCCGATACTATGCCAGTCCGAAGCCAGGAGCCTCTTCTGAGTCTCCCACATGGGAGTAAACAGTGAAAGTCAAATATATGTTTAGAATAGTCAATAGTATTTTGGCAAAAGTTAGAAAACATTTTTCATACTAGTGACAAAGATTCTTTGCTAAGTTTAATCAGGCCTAAAATCTGGTGTTAGCAAATAGCCTCATTAAATCAGTTCAGCAGCCCCTACTCCTTTCCTTGATAGCCAATTATATTCATTACCTTCCACCATACCCTAGGAGATGGTTGATCTCCAGGCCTATATTCAGCAATAATCCTGCTTACCTCAGTTTACCAAGAAGCTCATTTACCCTTGGTGTTTCCTAGAAGAGGAGTTCTTAAAGGTAGATTTTAAACCAAAGGTGGGGTCCCAGCACAATACCCTGGTGGCTAAATTCCTCGCCTTGCATGTGCTGGCATCCCATGTGGATGCTGGTTCTTATCCCAGTGTCTCCATTTGCAATTTAATACGAAACAAAGATAAGCAAAAGTTAAGCAAAATCATTCTAGAAAAGAGAGTAACAAGGATTACATATTTCAACTACATGTGAGAATTTTAATTCATGAAAGAATAAATTAGGTATTTTAAGAAAGATTCGTTCATGCAAAATGATATGTGCTAAGAATTTTAGTAGATAGTTTGTAATGGTTAATATTTTATAAGTTTAGATCAAATGAGGAATGCAACAGAGACACTATAAAGAAGCACATTGTCAAGCAATAAATAATTCCTACAACATTTAAATATTTTAATATCACTGTATTTTCCATGGTTATTAAAATAAGACATAAGGAAATTATATAGAATGTGCTTTGACATTGTACTATACTGTGGTACCTTAAAAATGCCATTCTTTTAAAAAAAAAATTTAAAGGTTTATTTCCTTTTTGGAAAGTCAGATATATAGAGAGAGGAGAGACAGAGAAGAAGCTCTTTCATCTGATGATTCACTCCCCAAGTGGTCACAATGGCCGGAGATGAGCCAATCCAAAACAAGGATCCAGGAGCCTCTTCCAGGTCTCCCATGCAGGTGCAGGATTCCAATGCTTTGGGCCATCCTCGACTGCTTTCCCAGGCCACAAGTAGGGAGCTGGATGGGAAGCAGGCATGCTGGAATTCAAACCAGTGCCTATATGGAATCCTGACGTGTGCAAGGAGAGGATGTTAGCCACTAGGCTAATGTGCCAGGCCATGTTTTTTCCCTTTTTAAATGTAATATATTATGCTATGAATGAGATGGGCTGAGGCCAAGAAATTAAAAACTATAAAAGATATCAAGTTGCTAACAGTAACATAATATTTTATATTGTTAGACAGTATGAACATGTGTTGTTGGACAAAAACAAACAAAATAAATTTCTACTTCCATAGAAAAGTTGATATAAGACAGCATTGGGTACTGCTTTGCATTACTGAAAGATGAAGCTAGCTAGAAGAATATGCTTGAGTTACATAATTTGCACATTCTTTATGTTAATATCCTAACAATGGGATATAATTGACCAATTTGAATATGATTAATATATTTGCTGCAAAATAATGTCCAATAACATAGTTACGGTGTTGAATCTAGAAAAAAAATGGTTATTAACTTGAACCCTAATGGTACATGGAAAAATCCCTTCTTCTGCATTTAGAAATGTGGTGACTAAGATTCGATGGGGGCATTTTTCTCATTTCAGTTTTGCTGGACACCCAAATTATCCATTTTCTGATGAATATTAACATGAAGGTTCTTCTACTGACTTCTATCACAAGCTCCTGCCTGTGGGTGGTGATTCAGGAGAGCTCTTGGAGGTCTGGGCACCTCGCTTCTGGATGAGCTGTGCTGCTAACCTAGAGCTGCTAGAGCACAAGGCCTTGGCAATACCTTTTTGCTGTTTACTGAAAATAAAACAGTGCTGTACAATAAAACCTCAATACCAGATCTCTGCCTAATACTTTTGTATTTTGTTTCACTTTGATTCCTTAGTCCCTCAAGCTGATTTGCCTACAAGTTTGCAGATCTGTAGGCAGCTAGTCCAATGAGGTGGCTGGGAATGAGTGTGAAGAATTTTCTATCTTTATGGAAAATAGCTGAGAGTTTTTTAGTCCCAATTTCTCCACTGCTTCCAAGAACAAGAAACACACTTTTAGAAGGTAGCGATGATGTGATACAACAAGGATAATCAATGGTCCAGTTTGTGAATTATAGCTAAAGAAAGTAACATGTTTGGTATCCTTAGGTAGGAGTGGTTAAAGGATTCATCCAGAGGGATTAGATACCACATACGGGGGAGATTGAGGAAGAGGAGTTGAATGTGTCTCTGCTTGGGAATATTACCAATGGTCTTTTGATGATACTATACATAAAAAGTACCTTCCACATATTTTTACTAGGAGCCACATTTGAGGTTGAGAAATGTACTTTATTTGTTCTTGGAAAGAAGTAATAAAATTGCTACAACATGCAGTTCTATAGAAAACCAAAGAAAAAATTCTGATGATAACATACACTACTAAATCTGTATTCCTGAAAGATTTTCATGATATAAAATATATTTGAATTCATTCTACTTGAGGGCTTTAAGTGTCTTATAAAAAAACAGACCAAAAATATACAACAAAAAATATCCCAAAGTCATTAAATACTAATATCATGACTATTACAATGTTAAATTATACATAAAATTATCCATGTTGTCCAAATTTCCATAAGTCTTTTCAAAATGTTGTATGGAATACAGTACAATATTTTAAAATGTGTTCACATTTTGGAACAACTGTTACTAACATGTAGCTCTGTTTTGAGTAACTGTTGATAATATAATAATAGGGAGGATATAAAAAGATTTCAAAAAACATTGCTTAACCAAGAATGTCAAAGAGCTCTACAATGATGCTTAGAAAACAATAATTAAAGAAATTGAAAAAGACACACAAAAATATGGGAAATTCATCTTTCTGGGATTGGTAGAAATATTATTAACTACTCTATTATTATTAACTACTTTTGAATTAACTAACATTGAATGTACAAATTCAATGCAAATCCCATGGAAACAGAGTGAAAATCTTCACAGACAAAACAAAAGAAAAATTTTTAAATGTTTAAACAAATACCAAAGATATTTAATACCCGGAGAGATATTTAACGATGAAAACAAAGCCAGAGACATAACAGGGATTTTAAAACATCTATGAACTCTTGTAATCCAAACAGCATGATGCTAGCATAGAAACAGATAGATGAATCAAGGGAACAGAACAAAAACAGTTATCTTTGACAAAGTTTGAAAACATGCTCATTGGAGGAACAATATTTTCTTTAAAGGAAACTGCAAATAAATATTCTACTTTATGCTTCATACAAAACATAACCCCAAATGCATCACATATATGAATATAGGATTCAAACTACTCAAGAAAACCTTACAGAAAATGCTACATGTCTTTGTCATAAATGACATTTTTGTTGTTGTTGTTGTTTTTAAATCCTTAAGATCACAGATAGCAAAAGTAAAAATAGACAAAAGAGTTATATCAAACTAATAGATTTATTCAAGGCAAATGAAATAATCAGAGTTTAAGTGGTTCTCAACAAATGAATAAAATAGCTAGATACTATACATCGATTAAATATTAAAATATGTAAGTTCAGCAAATTCAGTAACTATAAAGCAAATAATCAAGAAAGTAAATATGAAAGTATTTCAAACAGACTTTTTCATAAAAATACAATGAACAAATTTAGGAAGAAATGCTCATCATGGAGATAACAAACAAACAAAAAGATGTATCTCATTCCAATTAGGTGGGTATAATAATAAAGGCATTCTTCCGAGGTGACTGAATAAGAAACATACCTGTGAATTTTGGCTAGGGAAAGCTGGTGGAACAGGAAAAGAAAAAGTGTGCTCCCAGAGCAAAATTGGAGAGAATCCTGCAGAAGAAACATTGGAGACAACAAGGGGAGATCACATAATTCTCTTAACAGAGCTGTTACACAGTGAGCAATAGAAACATCACGAGCACATCCTATGACCAGGGGCTAAAGAAGCAAGAGCTTAAAGGAGCAGGCTGCTACCACCAGGGTTGTTGGTGATATCTTCTAGAACACAATCTAGACTGCTACTAGAGCGAGAGCTTTCCAGGTGGAAGAGCACAACTCTTTCTTTCCTGCCCAGCTGGGACAGAGGGTGTGATATTCTTGAAGCTGAAGAGAGGAAGGTAGAAGGGGAAATCCCTAAGCCTAAGGAACTGTATCATGAAAAATACAAATAAAGTGGGGCAGAATTAAGTTTGGAAGACATTAGCTTCTTCACTTTGTTTTCAGTAGTTTTTATTATTATTGTTTTCAGTAGTCTTTATTATTATGAATTGTCCCTTAATTATTGATCTGCCAGTATTTCCATGTTGTCACAGTACTATTTTTTACACTACATATTTCTTGGTATTTATCAATTTTGTTTTAATTGCCTATAATGTTGGCATATATTTTTCATGTCTGTCTTTTAGAATTATTTGTATTTCCATGGATGGTGTCATTTGTCAAGACTGTAGTTTCATTTTTATCTTATTTATTTTAGTGATTGTTTTGTGAAACATTCAGAAGTACGTGAAAGTGCATTTTGTTCACCAAACAATTATTTTGAGTAAGTGAAACATTAAAAACACCAAGGTAGACACTTAGAATAAAAAGATAATTAAAAAGGGGCATCTTCCATCATGGTACTGGTTTTCCAGGTCACAGAAAGCATAATAAACCAATAAACATATAGATCTCAGAAAACAACACAAAACATTTTTCTGCAGGGCTCTCCAAAGCACGAGGCATTTTAAAATATAAATATGTTATTTATTGTACCTGAAGAGTCAGAGCTATAGATAGAGGCAGAAGCAGATAGAGAATTTTTTTTTAGTTTGTTAATCCTCTCCTCAATGGCTAGAGCTGGAATGGTCTGAATCCAGAAACCAGGAACTTTCTCCCTTCCTATGCCACAAGCAAGGAGCTGATTTGAGAAGTGTAGCAGCTGGAACACAAAAAGTTGCTTATATGGGATGCCACAGACAGCAGGTGGCAGATTAGCATGTTACATCATTGTACCAGCCCCAATTCATGACACTTAGCTTCAGTGATGAATAATCTGAGAAAAATTGTATTTATGCATCTTGGTTGCATATGTCTCAGATGAATTACATGTTTTGAGAAAGCCTGTCTGATGGGGATAATGTCATAAACATAAAAGTAGTACAAGATTTATACATTAGAAAGCCCTAAACTATCCATCTCTGAAAATTAGATTTGAGATCTTCAACATTGAGCCAATATAAACTACTCAAAATAGTTACAGACATTTTTAGTACTTGTCCCTGAAAGTTAATAAAGTTTGAAGCAATTTTATTTTGCACGCTTTTTAAAATATTTTCAAAGCAACAGATTTAGCTGATTCATTATATTCTGTATGATTGTACTATAATTTCATTATGAATTTGACAACAATATCTGGAAGTTTGGGGGTATTTAGTGTCTTCATATGCACAATTTCCCAGTTGTGTTTGAAGTATTTACGAGGGTGGGGTATAAAATATTTAATTAATTTTTAAAATCTAATAAAATATAATGAATATATGGTTGAAATTCAGAGGATGGATCAGTGAATTACTCCTTTGAGTTCCTGGCTCAGTGATGCTAGCAAGATCATTGTGTTTCTTGGAAAAACTTGAACAGTCTCAGTTTCATCCTAATGTTAAGTTTGGTGAGTAAAATCTCAGGAAAATATTCTGATGATCTGGAGGATATCTTTATCAAAATGGCATTTATTAATATTTTTCTTATTGGCGTGCACTCAATCATCTCCCCTTAAACACTCCTAGTATCTCATTCCTAATTGCTTTCAGAATAATCCTGCACACATTCATGGCCAATCCTCCTGAAAGGAAGCATCGTTCCTCAGGCTTCTGCAGTCCTTTTCTTTGAGCTGTGGGTAAGATGTCTCTGGAGCACTGTCTGTCCTTGAAACATTTGTTAACTAAATGCAACTAATTTCCTGCTCTTCAATGGCTAGACAGAAAAGTTGATAGGTAAGCACTTCCTATCCCTCTTACTAAAAATATCAATGGCATGGTTATTTATCATTTTCCACCATCAACGTCCACATTTCTAAGAAAATAATTTTTCATATTAATGAGTCAGAAGGAAACGAACTATAACATATATACATTGGTAAGTAAAGATATTGAGGAAAGCAAATAATCTATTGTTTGTCAGAAAACTGAAAACTTAACTAGGTTTTCTTCCTGTCCTGTAGAAATACACGTAAGTGAATATGACTTGCTAAGCAGTGTCACAGATTAGAAGAGAGATCTCCTATCAGCAGCAAGTGAAATCTATGCCCCACTAAGATGCATGCGGAACAGAATCTGCTAAGGATCATGAAAAAGGTCTTCATGTCAATACTGATCAGATAATAGTTTCTAGAAACACAAAAATTAAGATGAAAGATACACAATCCTGGTTCCATGTCTCCATATCTACTGTAGTAAAGAAGTGATTTCTATGCAGCTGCTAGAAAAATAAAAGTTATCCCTATAGGACCCCTGCACAGTGACTAGAGGCTAAAGTCCTCACCTTGAATGCATGGAATCCCATATGGGTGCAGGTTCTAATCCCTGCTGCCCTGCTTTGCATCAACTGTCTGCTTGTGGCCTGGGAAAGCAGTGGAGGAGGGCCTAAAGCCTTGGGACCCTGTGCCCGCATGAGAGACCTGGAAGAAGTTCCTGGCTCCTGGTTTTGGACTGGCTCAGCTCGAGCCATTGAGGTTACTGGGAAAGTGAATAATCAGACTGAAGATCTTCCTCTCTGTCTCTCCTCTTCTTTGTATATCTGACATTGCAATAAAAATAAATAAATCTTTTTTTTTTTTTAAAAGTTACTCCTAAATTT